AATAACCCACATAAACATTCTGGTTCCCTTGATCCAGATTACACCACAGGAAAGCATTCATTTAACTTCTACCTATATCACTTACCTACTACAGGATCAATCCTAAGGAAACTCTAATCTATTGCTTGCAACCTAACTGGCCTTCAGTCACTACGTTCCAGCTTCTCTGGAACTCTCTTTCGTTTTGTTCCTTCACTCCCTATATCTTCAAAACCTTCCTAATAATCTCTTTGACCATGCATTTGGCCAAAACCCTCCCGCTCCCTTCCTCCTCTGCGCTCCGACAGTCACCCTACATGAAAGGCAATACAGTCTGACCCAGTTATAACACCATAGAGAGGAACTATAAAATGGGAGTCTTTGTCCGGCAAACGGATCATGTTAGAAGTCACACTTCCATGGGGGTCAGGTTACTGCTAACATCACCTAGCAGTGAGCTGAGCTGGTTGGTTAGAAATGATGTTCCCATGAACACTGCAAGTAGTTGCCGGGATGTCCCAGGAGGCACTCTTCTCCTGTGTGTAGTGTGCCTGAAGCCAGACAGTTATCACACTACCCTTCCATCATACATGGATGCCCACATTATAGCCAATCCAGCAGGATACCAAAATAAGATGGGGACAGACTAAGTACAAGTAATTATCATTATTACAAATTATTCGCCCAACAATTAAGATAAAACTTGGGAAAAACAATATTATAGTATGCAGGCAATAGGTTTATACAGTAACAGGAAATAGCCTTATGTAACATAACGCCAGCTTGGGCTGCATGACATAGAATCATAGAATTATACAGCACAGAAGGAGACCATTCGGCCAATCGTGTCTGTGCCGGCTCTTTGAAAAGAGCTATCCAAATCAATCCCACTCCCCCGCTCTCTCCCCATAGCCCTGCAAACTTGTCCTCCGCAAATAATTCTCTACTTCTCTCTTAAAATCTGTTATTGAATCAGCTTCCACCACCCTTTCAGGCATCCTGGCATGACGTGCAGGAGGTCAGAACCAGCCGAGTGGAGAGAAAGCAGGTCGGAGAGGTAGGAAGGGGCCAGGGCGTGAAGCGATTTGTAGACAAGTGAGCAGATCTTGAAATATAAAGAGAGACACACAGAGATAAAACGCATTAAGGCCAATAGCTTTGTTTTGTGATGATTACTCAATTCATCACTTCAAATCAACCCAGTCAGTCCTTAACCCTAGTCAATTCGCTTTCCAGTTCAAAGAGTAATATGTGGAATTGTACTATCTGTCAGTTGTTCAAGTGGTCACAGTACAAAACTTTCACATGCAAATTGCGTAAAATCTCAGTGGCTGCACTGATAATCGCTTGAAAACTGAAAGCTGTTAAAATAGGTGTCAACTTGACACTACACTTTATATTAAATCCTGTGAAGGACTTTGAGCCGCTTGTCAACATGATGAGGCTGTATATCAAATGCAAGCATTATTGTTATTGCTGTCAATTACTGAAAACCACACTTGATTGCTGCGTTTCTCCACTTCATCCTGAAACGTTCAGCTTCCTGGCTGAAGGCTTTGTGCAGTGTACAACTGTGCTATACAGACCAGAAAGTAACAGGTGTGAATCCCATCTGTGCTCAGTTAGCTGAACCAGCCAGAGCAACACTGACCTCTACAACAATTGGCTTAGGGAGGAGAATTAGCAAATTAGTCATAGTTCCCACTTCTAATCATTATCACACAACCACCAGATAGATTTTGTTTGGCCAGCCGGGTATCTGACTCGTGCGTAAACCCATCACCGCGCTTAAGAGTTTCCAAACCCAATTGAGGATTGAATGCATCCCATCTACACATGGAAATCCCAGAAATAATAATATAATAATCCTTGCATTTGATACAGCGCGTTTCACATCTTCGAGACATCTCAAAGCCCCTTCACAGAATATACTGTAAAGTGAATTGTCTATATTTGTGGGCAAAATAAGATTGTTGGAATGCAAAGCACGCATGGAAGTTGCTGTATAAAACACGTCAAAACACTTCACACGTAATTGCTGTCAAGTATGTACTTTTAGACAAACCCACCAAACCTGTCCACAAACCAATCCATCCGGGTTACGGTCAGAACACCAGGAAATCATTCCATTCCTTGTTGTGACAAATGTAAACATTTTAATCAATGGATAAATTGGCAGATGGGTCTCTAATTAAATGTCTTATCAGAAGGGCAGCACCTGATCAACGTTGTGCTTCCCCGAGGCCTTGGACATAATAATAATCCTTGCATTTGATATAGCACCTTATCACGTCCTTGAGGTGTCTCAAAGCGCTTCACAGGATTTTACCGTGTGATGACTATTTGTAGGCAAACATGGCATGCCAATTTGCACACAACGATGTCCCAAAACAGCCATGAAGTGAATAACTAATTTTATTTGGGGGACTGTTACCAGGACATAACAGGAGAAAGTTCCTTCTCTTTCCAAACAGCGCCTCGGGATACGAAACATCCACCTGAACAGTGTACGTATTAGACG